GGGGGGCTCACTTTTTATTTTCAATTTTTTATTCATGTGGGGCCGGCAATCATGTGAGTGTTTGTCAACATTTTTGTCAAATTCTTTTTGTACAAATAGCTTTATTCAATGGATATACACATGCGTAGGCATTGTCAGCACTCGTAAATAGTTGCAGAATGCGACACGTCCTTGGCGACAAAAAATTTGAGCCTGCGTGGCCATTTCCCATTTCTCATTTTCGATAATAACCGGCATTGCTTCGTCTGGACGACAATTCGGCATCGCATCGCTGTACAAAAATTCCAATTTCATCGGACTTGTATTTTTCTCCCTATTTTCCCTTCCTCTTCCCAATTTTCTTCGAGATATCTGGTTTCCGTTTCCTAGGATTCGATCAAATTTAATTTATCGTTTTCTATTACTGTAGGAAAACTATTCGAATTTATATCCTTTTCGAATCGTACATATATTGTTGTTCCAATAACACTTAATCTAAGCAGCAATGCAACGATGCGTTGATAACGTTATTGCTGTAACCAAAGAGTGAGTTTCCCCTTTTCTTTTCTCTATATTCGTGTAGATTTATACTCTTTTTTTTTTCTATGTTCTTGTATGTGCTTTGATATAATCTTGAATTATACTTGCATTTATTGATTATCCTGATTGTGTTAAATAGCAGAAAAGAATGATTTATTAATTTATTTTGTTGACTTGGGTTTCCCCCCTTGTTTTCCATCTACTAATGCGGTTATTGAACTGAATTTAGCTACTATTTCCTTAAATATTTTTTTTATGGGGTTTTCCGCCATTAATTTCCACTGACTAATGCGTTTAATTGAACTGAATTTAGCTATTATTGTTCTGTTTCTATACTTCGTGGAATTATTTACTAGGCTGCAAAATATGTTCATTTTTTGTATTCATTTGGGGTGTTTAGGGAGAAGGAAATGTGCGTTTTTAAATGAAAATAATGAGTTTAATTAGTTGGTTAACTTGATAAATGAGAAAATACTAGTAAATTCTATTGCCAAAGAAGAAGGGAAAAGAGAGAAAAAGAAAACTGAACCGGAGGGCTGACATGTCGGTCCCTTTGGTTTTTTTTTTTGTGCTGCGTTAAAAATAAACAGATACTTTTCAGAAGAGACATTCATAAGATGATTGGTGATTGGTTATCGGTGATAGGAGAGGGAATCCAATAAATAGCAGAAGCTTCTCTCCAAACTTTTTAGGACATGGGGACAAAATGGACAAGGAACAAACAGAATCTAAAACATGCCTGTGCTTACATTCGGTCTGCCCTTTCTGTTGGGATGTACCAGGGCCCGAGTGTTGAGGGATAGTACGAAAATGTTTATATGGGTTTAGTTTTTATACTCTAATATGGGGTTAGTGCTAAGAACTTTAGTTTTATAAAAGAATTGGGTTTTATTCATCGTCGCAAAAATTGAGTAACTTTTTGGTAACTGGAATTGACTTTGCGTAGTGTATATATACTCAAGTAAAAACAACAAAGTAACTGGACTAACCCATTGTAATAGTTGGTGAAGGACCGCAAATATTAGAATGGATTAAAATTAAATCAAAGGGTTTCCAAGAACTAGACTAAATTAAAATCTGAATTTCTGTAGTATTGGTTTATGGAAGAGTTTTGGGTTTCTACATTAACATAGTACACATGGAAGAAATTGATTTTTTTTTTTGGATCCAAAGAACACTATTTTACATTCACTTCTAAACATTTTTTACATGATATTTAACTAAATATTCATATCTATTGACATGAGAAGAATTTTTGAAAAAATGAAATTGTGTTTTTCCTCCCATCATGGAGTACATTTTTGTTATTGTATTTGTTTATTTTCATGTCAAACAGTGAAAATTTTAAACCAATTTTTCCTGCTTTAGACATGATTGCTTGGGAAAACAGGGTAAACAAAAGCATTTTCCATTTGCCAACAGGTGTGTCCATATGTGGGCAACAAACAGAAAACTACAAATGAAAAGGATTTCAAACAGGCTCTTAGTTTTCACTTTTCTTCCTCTAGCTTTCCTTTTCGTCTGTGAATTCTAGTATGCAAATGGAGGCTAATTGTTTTCGTAGAAAATTTGTAATTCTATTATGTTAGGAGGAATAGTCGAGGGGAGTCAGTTTTTAACCATTTCCTTCTCCTTTTTGTCTGAAATCGAAGTCTATAACTACTCTAAACAAATTAATTAAGCATTTAGGAGGATGATTTTAGACATAGGGTGTGTTTGAGCCTCATTATTTTGAAAGAATGTATTTTGGAATGGTAGATTGATGGAAAATGTGTGGTTGAAAAAGAAGGAAAAATTATTGATGTGATGGAAAATATTCTTTTATTGAAGAATGTGTGGTTGAAAATGAGTAGAAAAATTATAATGAAAATTTTAATGTGGCTCAAACAGGCATAATTTAGTTATCGATTTAATCAAACCGGGTTATTTGAAACACAGGCATACCAGTTCTTAACATGTGTTGTTCGAAAAAACATGCTGCCCTGTAAATTCTTTGCAACCATGGCTCGTGTTCTTAGTATGTGCAAAGGGGCTCTCAAAACTAAATAGGATGCTGTGGATCGTGGGAACCAACTGAAAACAGATAAATTTACTTCTAAAGATACTTTCTTTTATTCTTAGGAGATGCAAACTTTGACCACCTGTGTTTCTTGCAAATTACACATTTAGATTACTTCCTTTTCTGCCCTTTAAAGATATATCCGTTTTCTATTTAAGCTCTCTCATGAGTGATGCTCAATTTTTTGCTCATACTTTGGGCTTGGCATTCTGTTTCGTCTTGTTTTTGTCAATTATAATCAGCATTTTAAAGTTGTTTCCATGATGATGTGCTTGATTAGGTCGGTAAAGACAGTCACTTATGAATCATTGAACAATGTTGTAAGGCTGATAAATGGAGTATCAGCTATATTGTTGGCTATCTTACCAGGGAAAGCTTCTATTCTTGAAGGCATTCATGGATGGGAGCTTAGGCCGACTTTTTGTGGACCTCGGCTCCCACGTTGGATGGAAAAGTAAGTTTTTATCTTCTAGATTATTATTCAAGCGTGATTTGTATGAAGAATTTTCTGTGTACTTTTTCATTATATCGCACTAGATATTATTTACCACTTTTCATGTTGTATTGGCCTTGAGAGAACTGGGGTTCCCAGGGATTGAAAAGACTATTCAAAACTGTGAACTGATTAATATTGAAATGTTAGGATTCTATTCTTTCATTGAGAGTCCTCTATCTGTTTTTCTCAATTGGATGTTCTTTTTTATGTATTTGAATTGGTTGAGATAGAAATGCTAGGATCTTACATCTGATTGTGAGAGTTTTCTGCTTGTTCTTTCTCTAAATAATCTTCCATTTTACATCTTTGATTAGTTCCTTTTTAACTTTGTGTATTTCTGTCAATAAATCTTCAAGTAATTGGCAAAAAGGAAATTTCATTTTGTAAATAAACTAGAAAATTACGATAGATGTGGTTGAAACAGGAATTACGTGCTTAATGTGATAATGCTCTGAGCAATTTTTGTCTTAAGTTTGAGTTCTTGACTGTCCTTGTGGTTAATCTAATGATCAATAACTCACTTCGGATTGTGTTTGATTTTGATATATGCAGAATGTGCAGGAGTAACCATTCAGCGTGATGGGTAGTTTAAGATGTTTTTGAGTTCATTTTCTTTCAACTCATAATCCCTAGTTCTTTCAACGCTATTTTTTCTTTTTCATATTATTATTTGTGCCACCAGCAAATGAATATATAAAGACAGAGAATCATTCAGTTGTTACAGTGCTACTTTAGTCAAATGTAGTGGACAAGCGAGTGAAATAAATCCTAATTCCATAAGAATCAAATGTTGGTGATCTCGTTGCTGATTCTCAATTAGGATGGTCAGTTTCAGTCTTATCATTTTAGCCAGAGGAAGGGAAAACATGGTATGGGATACAAATTATTCTTCCATTTTGCCTTTTTTTTTTTTTAAACTAAGCCCTTGTTTGAGTCACATTAAAATTTTCATTCTCATTCTTCTACTCATTTTCAACAACACATTCTTTAATAAAATAATAGTTCCCATCACATCAATAACTTTTCCTTCTTTTTCAACTATACATTTTCCATTAATCTACTATTCCAAAATACATTCTTCCAAAATAATGTGGCCCAAACACACCCGCTATGCATTATACATTTTTGAAGAAAAGATATCAGCCAAATGAACAAACTTTCTAATAGTGGTGTGTCTCTTTGGAAAAGTTGAAAAGTGAGCAGAGCTTGACAATCTGTAGAGTTTCGGAGTAGTATCATTAATTGTATATGCTTGCTTATTCAGATTTTGTTATTCTTTAATTTTTGTGGAGCTTATTTGAGTTACAGAGGGGTGATAATATGTTTTAAATTGTTATGTTTGATATGATGTCTCAGTTGGCTTATTTGACTGATGTATATGTTTGGTGTTTGGCATTGACCTTGGTTGGGACTTTGAGATGTTACGAGCTGCATACTGTTGCATTTCTTGGGGCATTTGGGGAGTTGGGTTTTTGGATAATACTAAGCAAGCTTGGTTGTATATTTTATAGGTTTCTCCTCTTGGTGTTGGAACATTGGTCATTTCTGTTTTTCTTAGATCTATATTTACCTCAATGGTATGGAACATTGGTCATAGAACTTTGTTAGCATTCACCTCAAGGGTATGGAACATTGGTCATTTTCTGTGTTTCTTAGATCTATATATACAATTTTGTTAGCTTATATAACATAGATTTCTTATCTAATAAAATAAAAGCATATGAAATTTGCAATTCTTACTACCTCTCAATCTCTTTCTGCAAACTTGCTACAAATATTGCTCTTTATTCTATATGAATTCGGTTATTTGACAATTTTCTTTTTGATGTTTGCAGTGGTGTATCATCTTTCAATCAGTTCATTCATGAACTCTCCGTAGATTCTGACACATCCTCAAGTGTGGATTATTCATCTCAAGAAGAGGATAGTGACGATGACATTCATCCAGGGTCTCCTTTCTCACAAAGTTCTCGACTCTCTAGGAGAAGCAGTTTTACCAACCGCAATAGAAGTTGGATACGTTGGCTCAGATGTATTCTTTCATGGCTTCTGTTCCCTTTGAAATTACTTTTGGGCATACCCCTTTATTTCTTTACTTCGTCTTCTCGTAGGGCTTCTAAAGCCTCTACTAAATCAGGAAACCTCCTATCTTCAAATACAAATTCTCCTAGAAGATCACAAACCCTCAAGGATCATATTGTTCAACGGGCCACGGATCGGAGACGAGGTGTTGTTGAGGTTTGACCCTAATGCTTTTCCAATTTTTTATCTAAATGATGATTGCAATCTTTGCTACTCATCTCCAGTTTTTTGAGAGAAAAAAATTGATGGAATTTTTGACCTTCTAATTGTTGTTTTGAGCCCTTGTATTTTGTTTAACTATCTCTCGTGGAATTATTTTGTCGCGGAAAAGTAAAAATGTTTATAGGATAAGTATGGAACATGTATCTTTTTAAAGTCAGATAAGGAGAGCGACCCTCCCCCAACCCCACCACGCACGCATGCACGCACACACAATTAAACAAGATATGTGAGAGAACATATGACAAATTAGAAATGTATGCAAATGGTAAGGATATGGTAAATGAAAAAAGGTTCATGCACTAGGAATATCGAAAAACGATGCACCGTGAACCTAGTAAATTAGGGTTTGAAGGAGTTGCTCCAATCATGCACATTGGTGATGTAGGATCATACTGTCTACTCAAAGCAGTGGGCAAAGGCTTTGCTGAGTTGGGTTTTTGTCTTTTCTGCGCCGTAGAGATGAGAAGTTCCATACTCATTTGTAGTCTACTTGACAACTCTGCAAAATATAACTGCAAGAGGTTTAACAGAGTCATGACATTCTGTTTGCTATTTGTCTATTTAACTTGGATATTTTGTATATTGCTTGTTAGACTCAAAACTTTGATATGGTGCGTTACCATTTTATTATAATTTTACGACCAGAAGCATCCGGTCATGTAAGGAGAACTCAATGGAGAAAAGGAAAAAAGTTGATGAAAGTCTGCCAGTTGCTCTATTTTGCTTTCTCATAGATAAAAGAACTATAAATGCAAAATCTAATCCTTTATTTATGTTTCTAGGATCTGCATCTAGCTATTGAGATCTTCATAGAATCCATATTTGATGCTGTTCATAAAGTAGCGCATTGTGTTCTATCGCCAACAGACACCTTCAGAAGATTGTTGAGATGGCTTTCTCATAACAGCAATGTTCATACAGACATTCCTGCTGATTGTGTGGGCACCCGTGTCTCCACGGCCGTTCTCTCAGATAATGACCCAACTCCTGCAGAAACAACCACTTTTAACAATTCCCTCAATACAGATGCTCGGACATGTCGAGATGTCATAACAGAGCTCGGGTAAGTGGACTTTATTTTCTGCAGTTTGCAAATTTTGGGATGATTTCAGTTAGCCATCCCTGTTCAGAAAAAAAGAAGAAGAAACTGAACTAGTGGTAGCAAATTGCATTTAGAAAGTCTATCTCTCTTCTCTCACCCACCCACGCACACACTCTAACTCTCTCCACACATATTTGTTTATTTATTTATTTATTTGTATGTCCACACTTCTCAAGTAAATTTTTGAATTTTCAATCTGTTTAGGTACCCTTATGAAGCCATTCGAGTGGTTACTGCAGATGGATATATTCTTGTTTTGGAAAGGATTCCAAGGTGTGTTGTAGTTGAAATCCTTCATATGTGTGTTGCTTTTATGATAACGGCTTTTAAAAAATCATCATTTTGAATGTTTAGCTTTTGCAATATAAATTATGAAATAAATTGATCTATTTATGAATGGCATACTGATGTTTGTAGTTCAATGTTGCAGGCACAATGCTCGAAAGGTTGTTTATCTGCAACATGGAATATTAGATTCATCTATGGGGTGAGTCGTACTTTTGGCGAGTTGTGGTTCACTAAGTCTTATGCAATATATGTTTTTTTTTGGTCCTGCTTTACCATATACTTCAGTTAACCATCCAACATAATCAGAAGTTATATTTGACGAATGATCTACTCTATTGCAAAGAAATCGTTGAGTTCTATTCTGTCGCTCGATTTTTTATTTTGTGCTTAACAAATGTTAGTTGTTTTCATCCTAGTTATTTTCACCTTCGTGTTTCTTTTTCTTTTATTAGTTACTCTTTGGTTCTTTTTGTCTTATACTGATTGGACCTATAAAAGTGTAATAGGTCCTTATTTTTAAGAGATGCTAGTGCTTATTGCCGCTCTTTTGTCAATTAATGGAATTTGGCTATAGTTCTTGATCTTGCTCTCAGCATAACAAGCCAAGTGGTTGGCATGGGTTGAACTATATTTTATTATTTCATGTTCCCTCCTGCACTGCATATTTACTGAATGACGAAAATATTAGTTTGCCAAATTAATAATTGGGTTAGTTGCAAATTACCTCCATATGGTTTATGATATTTATTAATTGTGCACACTCTCCTTTAATTTGGATTAGCGGTGCTATATTTTTGTAATGATGATTTTGGTATCCTTGTATTTAAAAAAGGAAAAAAAAGGGGAAAAAAAAAGAAAGAAAAGAACGGTCAATACGCACACCAAACAAAAACATAAAGAAATGGGAAGGGACTAACCATCTTGATTTCGAGGCATTAAAAGGATTAGCAGTGTATGTGGTGACATGAGAGTGAGCAGCAAAAAATAAAAGAGATCTGGGTTTGCTTTGATTAAATCTAGTTTTTAAAATTTTGGTAGTGCATGACTAGAACACTTGCTGACAATGTAAATATTTCTCACACAGTATTGATAACCAGTTAGTATCTCTGATGTTGATGGTCGCATTTTTGTAATTATATACAATAAGCATGACAAACGTGACAATCTCACATCCCGTCGGTGTTAGTTTTACCAATTTAGCGCTTTCTACTTCATGGAGTTTCTTTTCCTTAGCACATCTCCTCCTTTTTCTAGTTTGTGGTGGTGTTGAGATTGAATAAAATGAGGTGGACGAAAGTTGTTAATGATCCCATTCCCTTTGTAATAAGATTCTTCAATTCAGAACATACACTTCGAGAGTCTGTCCCCAATCTGTTTTTTGGTACATCACTTGTTCATAACAACATTCCTGCTTCTAATAATTTTTGGATTTTGTTCATACTAGAAATGATAAGCAAACTCGGTATCAACATACACTGCAAAATAACACTTGCTGAATTTAGGATATAGCTTACTCCTACCAACAAAATCATCATGAACATACGAAACACGGCCAAATACTTTCAAATAAGAATGATTTACCTCTCTCCCACTCCAAATCCCCTCTGGCTATCTACAATCCTACGGTACTAAAGGCCCTCTAATAATTCTGTTCGTTCTTCTAGCTATACCATTTTGCTGAGGTGTCCCCTAACAGTTTTCTCCATCTTTATACCTTTCTTTTCGAATCATCATACATGTGGCATAATAACTAGAGCCTCCGAGTGATGGAACATGAGAAGGTCCCCACGGTACGAACCAATTCCAATTTTGCTGTCTTACAAATTCCTTCCAGCTTTGAGAAAAATGATCCTAGTTCTCACTCAAGTTATGCTTTAACAGGCTTCAAATCCAGTAATTTTCCCTCTGATAGAAGCACTTTCAATCTTTTTTCACTCATACGCCTAAGTTTACGATGCAATAGATTTGAATTAACATCGTAGACTGCAACTCCAATTGTATTTGGGTTATTGTACCTCAAGTTTGAAAATCTAGTGCATATTATCACATCGTTGAAGGCTGTGCAGAGTAGATCGAACAATCGATTTTATTTCTTGGCCAACATTTTCTTGCTCTGTTCTATCATAGTTATGCAGCTCATTCAATGGGAAATCTTGCTGAATTATCTTTTTTGAATTTATCTAGTGTATACGTTTCTTTCTTACCCTTATCATATAATGATGCAGTTGGGTGTCCAACGGGATCGTCGGTTCGCCAGCTTTTGCAGCCTTTGATCAAGGTTTGTAGCACATATCCGTATAGCATGCATTTTGATGGTCGGATATCAGAGCATAATTACATGGATTAAATTCTTGCATTCTCAGGTTATGATGTTTTTCTTGGGAATCTTCGTGGGCTGGTTTCCAGAGAACATGTTGACAAAAATATTTCATCACGACAGTAAGTGCCTGTTTGCACATTATTCTAAGTTATAATTTGAACATTGTCTTGTAAATATATTCTCTCAAGAAAAAGGAATAGGAACTTTCTGAATCTTTCCACCTTTCGGATTCAAATTTTTAATATTGTGAAAACTGAAGTTTATCTGTATCACAAGGAATATATTTTGTAAATCGAATATGGAAGATAGATGACTACTAGTCTACTAGCAAATTGTTATTGAGTAGTGAGTCATATTTTATAGAAATGTTTTCAAAAAGTGCTATAAGAAACATTTGTCCTTCTAACTGTATGTTCTAATTTAATTTTATGTATTATTTAGTTTAAAATGTTTCCTTTTCTTCTTACTTCCTTTTTTTCCTTTGTTCGTATTACTTGTTTTCTACACGAACCTCTTAATTTATTGAAACAGAAAATCAATGGAAGTAATAATCAATTTGGTGTAAATTTGGCACTTCACTTGGTTAAATCGTTAAAGAGAATATATTAAAGTTTGATGTTGTCTATGGTAGTACCTCGAATATTTACTATTCTCAGAAATTTATCCTTCACTCCTCTTGTATCTTTGAAGGTTTGGTTGATCCCCCCTTCCCACTTGTACTTCAATTTCATACCTATGGATATAGTCAGGCATCCAAACCAGCCACTAGTTCTAGGTGGAGACCGAACAATCCTGCATAGGCTTATGGTGTTTTGTACCAAAAAATAATATAAATAAATAAATAAATAAATGTCTCTGGTGCATGGAGTCATTGGTAGAGTTGGTTTTTTGTGAGTTGTATGGTTGAGAATGAAATGACATTGGACAGAATGTCCTTTTAGTTAAGAAGTAGGATTTTAGCAGGGTTTATGCTCTTTTTGGACATTTTCATACATCTCTAGTTGTCCTGAAAAACTATATAGGTGTTAAGTATTGACAATAATTTCCATTCTGATACTGAACTTGTACATCATATTCTATGTATTATTTATATTTCTTGAAAGTACAAAACGGTGCAGGTATTGGCGTTACTCAATTAACGAGCATGGAACGCAGGATATACCAGCAATGATAGAGAAGATACATGAAATCAAAGTTTCTGAATTGAAGTCTGGCCAACATGATCTGGAGGAAGGAAGTAGCAGTGAACAGCCTTATAAATTATGTACAATTTGTCACAGCCTTGGAGGAGCTGCTATTTTGATGTATGTCATTACACGTCGGATCGAGGAGAAGCCCCACAGGCTTTCAAGAATGATTCTACTATCACCTGCTGGCTTTCATCATGACTCTACATTTGTGTTCACAATGGTAGAGTACCTCTTTCTTTTGGTTGCTCCTGTCTTAGCACCCTTTTTGCCAGCTTTCTACATCCCCACTCGTTTTTTCCGTATGCTGCTGAATAAGTTGGCTCGTGACTTCCACAACTTACCCGCAGTTGGGGGATTGGTACAGACCCTTATGAGTTATGTTGTTGGTGGGGACAGTTCAAACTGGGTTGGGGTATTGGGGTCACCACACTATAATATGAATGACATGCCGGGTGTAGCATTTCGTGTGGCACTTCATCTGGCACAAATGAAGCACTCGAAGAAGTTTAGCATGTTCAATTATGGGAGTGCAGCTGCCAACACGGAAGAGTACGGTTCTCCCGAGCCACTGGACTTGGGGGAATACTATGGCTTTATTGATATTCCTGTTGATCTTGTTGCTGGGCGAAAGGACAAGGTCATTCGGCCCTCTATGGTGAGAAAGCATTATAAGTTGATGAAAGATGGTGGAGTAGAGGCTTCATACAATGAGTTTGAGTACGCGCACTTGGATTTCACATTCTCACATCGTGAAGAATTATTGGCCTACGTTATGTCACGTCTCCTACTGGTTGGTCCCTCTTCAAAGCAGATATATGGGCAAAAACCTCTCAAGTTGAAGGGCAAAGATGTACAAGCAAGGAAGAGCTAAATGGAGCTGAATAGCAGAAAATGCGTGAAACCCGGCTTTTTAGGAGTTCATCAGGTTACTTTCTGGTTGTCAAAGGCTGTTTATTGTTGTGTATAGACAGAAATACGTTAGTGTATCTTGGGATACAGAGATGATGTAAGAAGTTAGTGTTGTCAGGAAATAGTAATTGCAAACTAAAGAAGAATGTCCCAAATGTGAAAATGTTGTATGTATCTTCAAGCTCGAGTTTCGATAGGTTCACCAATGTGATGCACGAATGTTCTGCGTTTCAGAGTGATTATTAAACACTGCATGAAGTGGAAAATCTTTGTACAGTGCTCGCCATTCGCGTCTGCTATTTCATCGCTGCATGTGCTCTTCAGATCTTTCTAATGTTTGTTTGATGGTATATTTCTCTGGGTTCTTGGTGTGATGACAGAGTGACTCTAAACCTTTGTTCATGCTATGTAAGTCTTTTTGTAAAAGAGGAAGACGAAGATTTAGTTAACATATATTTGCAAGTCAAGATATATAAAAAGTTAGCTTCATAATTCTTGATAAATAGAAAATATTGAGTATTCAAATTCTTAATACAATTAATAAAAAGTATTTGAATAGAATTCAATGCTTTATTTATCTTTTCATAAGAAAGTTATGTGGGCAGTCACTCCATGCTCGTATCTCCACGAACCACTAATTTTTTGAAGGGGAAAGGAGAAGGGGGAAATAATTTCAATAAAATAGAAAGCAAAGTAAATTAAACATAGTTCTATTAGTGAATACCGCGTACTTACATTTCTTCATAACTCGAAAGTTGCGCGACGATTCTGATCCATTTTATGAAGGAAAAGACTGTTAAAATCACTCGTATACTTGTTTACCTTGGTGATTTGAGTGATGAGACAAGGAAAATAAATTATAGAACTTAATAACTTTTGACTCCCTCCTTTGAAAACCTTGCAGAAATTTTTTTTCTTTGAAAATCATCCACTTCTTTTGACACTCAAAAGACGTGAGATGAGTGCCACTATAACATTGTTCATGAAGCGTAATAAAAATTTAAAATGGGAAGACACGATTTACAAAACATATTTATAAGTCGACATATAAATAGTTTATAAGTAAGTTTCATAATTCTTAATGTACGTAACTTAATCGCGTACTCACGTATTTGGTATTTCAACTCCAAATACAATGTTTGAGCCCCAATTTTTTTTTTTTTATGTAGAATGCATTTTGAAATAGTAGATTGATAGAGAATGTATGATTAAAAAATAAGGAAAAGTTTTGAGTTTGCGTGTAAAATTATTTTATTAAAGAATGTGCGATTAGAGAGAGAGAAATGTATTTTAATAAAAATGAGAATCAAACGAGGCATTAATAAAAAAATTCTTAATCGCACACTCGTGTGTTTTATGTCTTGCATGGAAGAAAGAATTTCGATTCATTCTCTATGAAGGGTGGATATTTATAGGGACGTTGGGGCCTGGAGGTATGCCTTTCATGAAACTTTAATGGGGACAATACATAACTCCTATTTTTAAAGATTACATTTCATAAATAACAAACTCATTAAAATATTTNTTCAAAAAAATTAAAAATTGAAAATCACACCATTACCTCCATGGATCCACCTACCACCACCCCCCATTCATGCCTCCACCTCCTAAAAAATTACCTAAAAAAAAATTGTGTTCAATGTGACTGTATGTGACTAATTGTGATCAAGTGTGTATTCAATGTGACTAATTGTGACCAAATTTGTGTTAAGTGTGACTGTCTGTGACCAGGTCAATCTCAAGTCACAATCGATTACAATTAACAAAAAACCAGTCACAATCGGTCACAATCAAACGACTGAGAAGGCAACTAACCTTACCACCAGCACAATCCCCACAACTCTAACTACTACTGAAACTCAAACAATTGAGCAAGCCGCCAACCCCTCCTCCACTACTAACACCCTCACCATTCCACTTATAGATCAAACTCAAACTCAAACACACAACCAGCCAAACACAAACACAACCCTTGCCGCCACAGTTCTACCTTCAAGTGAAGCCCAGATGGCTAACTAGCCTAGTGCCACCTCAATTGGCCCTGAAAGCATGAGCGCCACCTCGTCGGAGCTCAGATCGCCACAACAATCACCTACACCACCACTACCACCATCACCGCCAACACCACCAAAGTGCATCGAATAAAAAAATACCTACAAAAAAAACCACTAACAAACCACACACAACAAACCATTCTTCTCCGTTGACTATTGCCACATCAATATTTAGCTTATGGAAACCACTACTTAGAGGTGCCCATCTGACTGGAACTCTCTGCTGACCCTCCTTAGGTAGTTCATCTGGCTGTGCAAAGAACATATGCTTTCCCAAACAAATCAAGTGGTTTGAAGCTACTGTGGATTCACAGGGACGAAGATGGTTGTGTCGGGGCGAAGCTGCTACGAGAGGCGGAGGGATGGAAGATACAGAGAGAAAGGAAGAGGGCTTCTGGGTTTGGGAATGCAATTAATTGGGGGGGGGGGGGGTGGAGTGGGGGTGATGAAATATGTAGATTTAAAATTTTATTATTACAATTAATAATCTTAATTTCCACTTGATTTTTTAAATGAAAACTTTATCGCCTATTTTTGAATTGTAATCTTGAAAATAAAGGTTTTAGGTTATTTTCTCAACTTTAATTTTATCAGTTCTTTCTAAATTTACCAATATGCATAACTAGGAAATATTTAATTATACACGTGTATATATAATCATATACATTCAGATCTCAATTAATTATATTATTAACCTTATATAAGTTGGAATGCAGGACAAGAATTATTCGAAAAATAGACCTTTTTAATTTAAGATGATTATAGATGTTCGCATGTATGTTATAAAAAATAATAATAAAGAATTGCAATTTACTTAAGTTCAATAATCAATTCTTGAACTGAATTTGAATCACGAACTTCCAACTTTATATATCATGAATTTTCCAACTTCTTTTAATTTCAAGAGCTTGTTGCTTCCAACTTTCAAAACTTCTATGGTATTCAGCAAATTCAAGACTATATCAACGTGTAGACACCTTCTTTTAATTAAACAAAAATCAAATTTTAGATTGGAAAGACCTAGGAAAAATAAAAAAATATATATTTTCCTATTTTTTTCCTCTAAAAAATGCCTCTACGAGGTTTTCCATGTAAAAGTCAGCTCCAAAAGGCTATAAATATACGAGAAAAATTAATCTCCAAGTCAAAGTCAAATTAAGCCTTAATAAGTTTAGTTGCAGAATAGTCCTTGAACTTTAATTAAATTACAATTACGTTTTAAAATTTTCAAGTAATTGCAATTGAGTTCAGAACTCTTTTGAGCCAGCATAAAGACCTGATTGAATATAGTGGAAATTACATTAGACCAGGCTATTCAAGATGGCTTATTAGCACAAAACGTCCCTACGTTTCGCTCTTATTGTGCAAAATGTTCTTGCGTTTTAAATTTTTCATTTTCACCTCTTTTTCAACGTTTCATTGTAGAAAACGTCATATTCATCAATTTTTATCCAATTTTCCAATTACAAATTGTAAAGTGACTAATATATCCTCTTATTTAAATAAAACAAAAGGAAAAAAAAAAATTGCAATCATATTCCCATTTTTAAAAAAGAAGTACAAATAAATTCCAAATAAATTAAATTTAAAAATCAAAAAAGAAAAGAAAAGTCGTCTTCTTCTTCTTCTTCTTCTTTTTCTTCTTCTTCTTCTTCATCATTTCCCATACCCATGCCCACCCTTACCAAGAACTTAAAATAGTACTTTTGGGTCCTTCAAATAAGTATTGTAGAGGTAGCGGTTTAGTGGTTGCAAGAAATTTAAAGTCTTTTAACATTTTCTCCTTGCTACACTGATAGCAATGCCACAACTACCACCTTCAAATTCTCAGGTAATTAAATCACTCTTTCTTTGTTATTGCTATGTAAAACAAAAGTTGATTTTGCTTTATTGTATTAGCCCAAGTGGGAATGAATTGATTGTAAATAAGGGGAATTCTTTTACATATGTTCAAAGGAAGGAGCTTGAAAGACAAGCCATGATCTGCAAGGCTATTAGCACAAAATGTCCATATGTTTGACTTTTAGTTTGCAGAGCATCCTTACATTTCAAACTTTTGCGTTTTTCACCCTCGTGCCTGCTGATATTCTTTTTCCTTCTGGTCTTCTTCTTCTTCTTCTTCAATGATTTCTTCTTTTTACACTTTTGGTACTCGATTAGATGTGGATTTTAAAAATATGTTTCTTGGTATTGATATTTAAGTACAGTGACTTGTTATCTAGAAAGATGCAAGTGAACGGATGCAAGAAATAGGGTTCTAAAGAGATGCAGTGCCCATTCACAAGTAATGTGACTGCCACCTATAGAAAAATCGTCCCCATTCAAGAAAGCTTGTGGAAATCAAGAACAAAGCCACTGACAATAATGAGAAGAATAGCCCTCTTTTGTTTAATCCTAAAACTGATCTAAGTATTTCTACATCATTTAGTAAGAAATATGAGAGAATGGTTTTTAGTATTTATACATTCTCTAGTATTTTCGAATCTATTTTTTGGTTTCGTTTCATGGTGAGGGTGAGGGAGAGGGTGAGGGTGAGGGTGAGGGGTGGGGATGGGAGATGGAGAGTTCTTTTCTTTTTCATTTTTTAGTTTAATTTATTTGGAAATTATTTGTACTTCTTTAAAAAAAAAAATGGTAGTATGATTGCAATTTTTTTTTTCATTTTTTTTCTTTTCCTTTTATTTTATTTAAATATGAAGGCATATTTGTCATTGTACAATTTTTTAATTAAGAAATTGGATAAAAATTGATAAAAATGACGTTTTCCATAATAAAACGTTGAAATAGGAGTGAAAATGCAAAATTTTGAAACGTGAGGACGTTTTGTACAATAAGAGCGAAACATAGTGTCAAGGACTGCAACTTTACCTAGTCCCTTGACCCAATCCTAGCCACAGTTTGCCCAACT